TGACTTCTAGTAATTGAACCTACATGTGCTTGTTTCTCCCCTTAAGAAAGCGCGGCCTTCAGCTTGGGGCCAAATTCTTTTTTCCACTTGGAAAAGTGATCTCATTTTCCATGTACCATGTTTAAAAAAACACAAAACTCTTGTAGGATTAAAAAGAGAAGGGGAGAGAAGACAAACAAACGTTTGCGATGCATGTTTGAAAGGCGGCCCCACATGTGTAAAAGTATTTGGCGTGATGGTTCTGGACCAGAGCGTCCATCTGATATTGAATCCATATGACTCGGCAAACTTCATTTTATGGTCCTTTTTGCTTTTAAAATTTCTGACTTGTGAGTTAAAATTAAGGTTGCTTTTGGTTGTGACTAATCTCATAAAATCTTTTTGAGACGGCATTTTATGTACTCAAAGCCTGAGCATTTCTTCAGTCCTTGGACTATGATTAGTGGGATGTCAGGAGTCTGCGTGGCCTCTGAGATGGGGACGCTGTGTGGATTCCCGGCGGCACAGCCGGGCGCCCACCTTGCCCACTCTGGCTGCCCGGGGCCAGACGCTGAGCCTGCGGGAGGAACGAGGCCCTCGCAGTCATCACTGCCTGGCACCGTGGGGTGCCTGGGTTCAGTCACCTGGGCCACTGCCGCCATCAGCTCTCACGGTCAGGGGTGTGTCCAGACGACCACCCTCGTCCTGAGTCTGTAAGGAGAATGGATGCCTTGTTTCCTGACCGCCCCATGGTGGACCCAGTGCTGTCCCAGACCCCGGGGGTGGGGCTACAGGGTCCTCCTCCTGGGATGCGGCCGCTGCCTCCGGATAAGGCGTGAGGCCGAGGATTCAGGGCAGGCTTTCCTGGCCTGAGTGTCCGGTCACTGCGCACAGCGGGTGGCCTGGAAGCCCGCCACCCTCCGGGGGGCGCCAGACCCCACTGGGCCCGGGGTGGGGAGGGAGGAGATGGAATCCAGGCAGCTTCCCAGGTGAGGCACTTGAGGCCCCCCCGGGACTGCCAGTGAGCTGCAGGCTGAGAGCCTGGGCTGAGCCTCCTCCTTAGAGACTCAGGGCTCTGAGGGCAGTGGGTTTGACTTCATCACACGCCTCCTTTCTCGCAGGAAGGTTGCAGGGACGCCTCCTTCCTCGCAGGAAGGCTGCAGGGAGAGGAGGCTGTGGAGGTGAGTGCCCATCCTCTCCTCGGGCACCTCCCTTCCTGAGGGTGCTCACTGGTGCCCCAGTGGCTGGGAGCTGGAACAGCCCAGACGCCCTGGGGGATGTGGGCCGGCGGTGCGGGCAGCACATCAGAGGAGCATTAGTCAGCCTTAAAGAAGGGCGTTCCGGCACAGTCTACAAGTGGGTGACCCTGGGGGTGTTATTCTAGTGAAAAAGCCTGTCACAAAAAGACAGATCCCTGTGAGTCCACTTGTACGTGGCCCTGGGGGGCAGATTCAGAGACAGAAGTAGGACGGGGGCCGGGGCTGGGGGTCAGCACTTGATGGGGACAGCGCGTCACTTGGGGACGATGAGGAAGTTCTGGCGGTGGTGGTGCCGCACAGCGGTGTGGACGTGTTAATGCCACTGAACCATGTGCTACAGGTGGTTAGAAGGATACCCACATTCTACCACAATGTGAGGAAACCTGGCGCTGCCAAATGCACTGTCTCGGCTGGGTCAGCATCTGAGGGGCACAGCTACAGGGGCCAGCCTCGCCACAGGTCTGGGGACCCAAGTGCTGTAGGAAAACCTCCAGGCCAGTGGAGGTGGGGGGAAGGCTTCATAGCTTTGGGTAAAGTGCCTCTGAAGGGCACAGAGACAGTGAGAGGTCTTCCACTACCCCACCCCCAAGCCAACGCACGGTTCAGTCCGTGCAGGACGGATTCGCAGGACAAGGCTGTTCACACCTGTCCTCCGGGGTCAGCTCCACGTCCTGGTGAAGGATCCTGTACTGGAAGGAAAGGCGCCTCTTCCTTTCTGCCGGTCTCCATACAGGAGAATTTGGTCTTTTGTTAAACAATACAGCAAGCAAATCCCAAAGGAATGTTTCGTAGATTCCCCCCCAACCCAGGAAACACTAGGTGCCCAACAGCAGAGGCATTTGGGGGTGGGGGTTGGGCACATTCACAAACTCCTGACCAGCCCACTGGGACAAGGTCCAGGCAAACACTGGACTTTCCATCCGGTACTCAAAGATGTGAGGGCAGTGAGTCCAGACACTCCTCCCTGGAGCTGCACAGGAATTATGGACAAATGACAGCCTGTCCGGTTCCTGGAGACGTTCCAGGGGACAGGGGTGTCACACGGGGTCAATTTTCAGTTCACTGGGGCTCAGGGGCAGGCGGCCAGTGACGGGCCTTGTGATGCAATGGTCACTCTGGTGCTAGACCGTTTGAAGCAGAGGTGCAGCGGGGTGCTGTGTGAGGCTTGGGTCTCTTGCTCAGAAAAGTCAGCACAAGGTCTAAATCCTCTTGCAAAGCCACTGCCCTGGCATTTGCACCTCTGTGTCAGCAGGTCACCCCGAACTTTGAAACAAGGCAGAGAGTTGGGCGACACTCCCTTCCTGACCCTGCCCGTGTTACCAGGGGGCTGCGGCTCCACTCCAAGCGGCAGCCTCATCCTAGCCGCCTGTGAGCGCCCAGCACCTCAGGTTGTCTGCAGACTGTTTAACACTGAGTGCTTCCTCTTGAGTGAGAGCTCCATCGAGTGTCTTACACTTTTGTGAGTGCTGTGGTCTTCTTTTCCAAACTGAGCTTTCGTGGCTGAAGCGTGGCTTTGCAGCAGAACAGGGTTCCGTCTCATAGTCTTACCAGTTTGCTTCTCATTCCCGGAACATTTAGTGTCGTCGGGTCCTCCTGCCCGTCGCCACCCTACTCCGTGTGAGACGGAGTCTCACAGTGGCTGTAGGCTGCGGGCTCCTGACGACGGATGACGCTGGTGTGTTTCCACTGCATTGTGGGTGTTCTCCTGTCTCCTTCCGTAAGGTGTCTCTTTGAGTTTTTTGCCCAGTTTTAAAGATTGGGTTGTTCTTCTTTTAACGGTTTTTGTAGAAGTTCTTTATGTATCCGGATAAAGTCCTCTGCCGGTGTACTGTATTTTTCCTCAGTCTGTGGCTTGTCTCGTCATTTATTAAAGTCCAGGTCATGACCTGTTCCCCTTAAGCGTTAGTGTTCTGTATCCTGTCCAGATCTGCCCACCCCAGACTCACAAAGGTGTCTTCCTATACTTTCTTCTACAAGCTCTGTGATTCTCGAAGTGTTTTATGTTTAGGTCTAAGGTATCTCTTGAATTAATTTTTGTGTGTGGAATGAGATAAGAGTCAGGGGTGCTTTTGCTTTGCTTTCTCTTTCCTGCACAGATAACCAGCTGCCCCAGACACATTTCTTTCGAAGACTCTCCCTCCCCCATTGGCTCGGCCTAGCGCTCGCCTGTCCTCACGCCAACACCCACTGTCGTGATTGGCACAGCTTTGCAGTGAGTCGTGAAGTCGGTCAGCATCCGTCCCGCAGTTCTGCTCTCCTTTAACAACATTGCTTTGGCAATTCTGGGCCCTTTATTTCCACATAAATATCAGAATCACCTCATCAGTTTCTACAAAAAGAAAGCACCCTGCTGTCCCTGTGACTGAGATGACTTTATAGATCGGTTCAGGGAGGCGGGACGTCCTGACTCTGCCGAGGCTGTGACCCGGGAGCTTCGACACCTCCTGTTTGTCTGGGTCTTCTCTCTGCACTGCTTCCAGGCCTTGCTTTTCTTTTCAGATTCAGTCCTGGGCATTGTATGTGTCTTTGATCTGGGCCAGGAGTTTTCTTAGTGGGAAGGCTCTGACCACAGACTCAATGTGTTTGATAGCTACTGGGCCACTTAGATTTTCTAGCTCTTCTAGTAACACTTCCGTTAATCTTTTTCAAAGCGTTTGTCCCTTTCATCTAAGGCACTTAATTTCCTCAGCAGCATTCTTAGTGTCTCCTCGCTGTGTTTAGTGCCTGCAGGGTCTGTCGTGGCGTCTTCTTCAGAGTTCCTGCTGTCGGTAATTTACATTTTTCTTGTTCAGTATTTCTAGGGGTTTATCAATTTTATTAATCTTTTCAAAAAGCCATTTTTTCACCTTGTTGACAATCTTTATTATTTGACTAAACACTTTTCACTGATTTTTTTCTCTCATTTCAATTTTTCTTCTCCTGATGTTGTACGTGACTGTCTCTGCCGTCTCTAGTTTCTTGAGGAGGGTTATACACCAAATGCACCCAAACTGGAGGGTCTTAGAGGCGAGGTGAACCAAACTGTCAAGGAATACACATCCTCACTGTAAACAAGTGGGTCCAGAAATTGGAAGAAGAGAGCAGGGGTCCCAGCCACTTCTTGATGATCAGATGCCCCTGACACCAAAATAAGAAGAAGAGTTTGTAGGCTGGATTTCATCAACTATAGATGGAAATTTCCTAGGTGAAATGAATCGATTTCAGGAGTGTATTAAAAGTTACGATCAGATGAGGTCTGCCCCATACAGGCAAGAATGCTTCCCCATCAGAACGTCCGTCAGTGTAACTCCCCACGTCAACAGACTGAGGAACATCCATGTGATGGTTTCCGTGGATGTGGAAACTCTGTGGAACTCATTTTTTCATGATAAAAATTCTCAGAAAAATCAGAACACAGAAGAGGGTGCTCGAATGGGGAAGTCCACACGGGTGACACAAAGGTCCCTGTTTTGGTTTCTCATCTCATCGTGATGATGTTTACATTTTATAAAACTTAAATTTGCTCATCACTAGAAACAGGAGAACCCAAGTCCTGAGCCTTACAAATGCGACCGAATCCCCATGTCTCCTGCTAGCCTGGGACCGTCTGCAAAACGGCCATAAATAAACTGAAAGTAGGCCTTCCTGGAGGCCATGAACGTGGACCACACAACTAGGGAGCAGCGGCTGAAAACGCAAACGGAGTTAATGCGTGACTTTTCCGGCTTCGGTGACTCCGCAGACGTGCCTAGGAGCCGACTCAGTTTCTGCTTTTCCTTCCAGTCCCTCCGCGGCTTCGCTCTGGTCGTGAGCGCCGAAGGCGTGATATTCTACGCGTCAGCGACGATCGCGGACTACCTGGGCTTCCACCAGGTAAGCACAGCCGTTCCGTCCGCTGCATGTTCTGTTCTGCTACCTCATAGACGCCTGTTGTCCTCCAGGTTTGAATCATCTCCAAGATCAAGCTTTTTAAATCACGGAGCTTTTGTCAGATGAGGATTTGCACACCCCAGCCTTGTGACGGCGAGAGGCCTGGCGGGTCCTGGGCGTCCCGGCCTAAAGGGCAGGGACTCGTGCCGGCTGTGGCCCAGCCTCCCGTGCTCCTCACTGGGGAGAGGCTGGTCAGGGCCGGCTGTGGACTCGTCCTCACCAGCACGGCGGCGTTCCGGGCCCCAGATACAGCGTGGGCTCTGGGAAAGCCAGCGTTGATGTGCAGATAGTTTGCTGGGAACGTTGCTTCAGGCCATCCCAGCTTGTGTGGTTCCAGAGCTTGGGGCAGACAGCCGGGTCAGTCCCACCAAACACTGGGGTCCTGGGAGGGCGGCTCGAAGAAAAGTCCCACCTCTGGCCCAGGAGAGGAGGAGGGGCCTGGTCTGGCCTCTGGGAAGGCAGAGAAGTCTCTCATGGGAAATCCAAGCTGTCGCTGGAAACCCGAACTCACACCCAGTGAGGCAGTTGTTGAGGACTGAGGAGGAGCCGGCTCGGCTCGGGCGCGGCCACAGCCCGCGCCGCAGACACACCCCCAGAGGGAGCGGACCACACAGTGAATAGCACAGGGCCCTGGGCTCGCCGAGGAATTCAAGATACAAACAGGCAGATGTAAGAGAGCAGAACAGAACCCGGGAAAAGGAAGAACACAGTGTGTCTGTCAGAGCCCCATTCGGAGTCAGAAACTGCAGTGCTTCGAACAGTTTCATACAGAGTTACTATGAGTTAACTGTAAAGGAGCACTACCCAGTGACACAGCACTAGCGGGAAAGGGGCACAGAGCGGGTGGAGGGCAGCCGTGCCCGGGCTGGGGCCGGGCGCCCAGAGGAGCGGTTTGGAGACCCCTTCATCGGCGAGGGCGAGGGCGAGGGCGAGGGCGAGGTGGTGGCCTGGGCGACGGCGAGCCCACTGAGGGCCCCAGGCCAGCTGGCTGGCAGAAGCCCGCCTGCTGCAACATTGGCCTGACCCAGGGAGGGTGCTGGCCTGGAGGCTGCCAGGAGCTGCCCACTGGGGGCCCCGACGGGCCCGCAGAGCCCGAGTACCTCTGCAGGCGAGGGGAGGTGTCTGCAGCATCTGGGATCAGAGCCAAGTGATGAGACGGGGGTTTGGAGCTGGGAGTTGGGACGTGGAGTTGATAACGAAAATCTCACTGGACGAGCAGAAAGCCAGGTGGTGGGCAGACGCCGAGGGCAGAGGAAGTGTGGGGCCCTGACACGCTGAGAATTCTGGTTGGCCTGAGCCCTGGAGGCCACTGGAGCGTTTGATCTAGTTTCCACGACAACCATCATTTTGTGTCACTTCCAAAACCGAAGTGGTTGTCGCTCTGCTGGTGATTCTGAGAAGCGATTCCTCAATCATTCGGTCGGCTCTCCTGCCACCTGAACCCACACAGAGCAACTGCCACACCCTGTCCTGTCCTGGCCCTGGGACAGTCCCTGCGGCAGGTGGAGGTGTGTCCCTCGTGGAGGACCTGGCTGGTGAGGTGTGGGGGCGGGACCTCCAAGGGACTCCGGGTCAGACCACAGGGGTCGAGCCGGCTCTGCCCCCCTAGGGTTGGGTGACGACATCCTGCTCCACCCAAGGAGCCACAGCATGTCCACCCACGGGGCTGCGGCTGGGCCCTTGGGGGCGCTGGGGGCAAGGGGGCCACTGCGGGAGGCGTCCCCATCACCAGCCCCGCCCTGGGGGGAGACACCTGAGGCCTCTTCCTCCTTGGCTGCTCCTGACCCGTGAACTATGCCACCTGATCTGTCTCCCGTGACAGTTCAGCACCCAATTAGCCCTGCCGCCTCCCCCCAAGTCTGCTTCCCACAGGTGCCTCGTCCATCACTCTAGGGAGGCTGTGTGTAGGAGGCGGTGAAGACGAGCTTGGTGGCATAGCTGGGTGGCTGGCTCCCTGGCTCTGGGGTCCCCTCAAGCAGCTCCCACTCACATCACCGCTGGCTGTGGGCACGGCAGATTCCAACCCCAAATAACGAAGGCTTCCACGTCCTACTGCGGATGTGTGCAGGACGGGGCTCTGCGAAATATGGTTTGGCCTGCCTTCTGCAGGCTCAGAATTTCTTTTGGTTCCAATCACTGTCTCCTGTGTTGCTCTGTGAATTCTCCAGATGCCCAGAGCCACCTGCCTTTGGACAAAATTTGGCCTTATCACTGGGTTTGGCTTCCTGAGAAATGCAGGTGCCCTGCAGAGGAGACCTGATTCCAGGTCTGAACTTGCTAACTGGATCTTTTGTTTTCTTGGAGCTTGGCTATTTCCTCTAAAGTGTTAGAAGTTAAAAAAAAAAAAAGTTCTGCCTTATTCTAAAGAAATTGTTTCCAAATGTCATTAAGTCATTAGCAGTGCCTCTAGCTTACGCAGAGAATTTCACGAACATCTTAGAACAGCTTTGTACTATTGTGAGCTTCTGGGGCAAAATGCTTTACAGAAAGTCAGGAACCAGGTATTTCCTATCACAGCCTGAGCGGTTTCGGTGTCTTCCACTTCAGCACCCCTGAGATGAATAAACAGACTTAGGTGTGTGTTTTGGTCGCTGTTGACATTTGCTGCCTCAAGTAGCTGTCGGTCCTCTGGGAGGTCAGCAGGCGGGGGGGCAGGTCCCGTGTGAACCGTGCGGATGTCAGGGGCTGCGGGAGGAAGCAGTTAAGCGTCCACAAACACGGATAACGGATATACGCACCCTCGCACAGAAGACGGTCCCTGCTGGAACGAGCCGCATGTGGAAACGTTGCACTTTTGTGCTCAGCTCCACAGAAAGGCCAAGATGAGGACACACTGATGGGACCAGTCGGGCTGGCTTTTAGCCATCTGAATAATCGTCGTGTTTTCCCTCCTTCCTTCGCACGTTCCCCACCATGTGTTTTCCTTGACCTTGTTTGTAGGAATCAGACCCTAGGAGATGAGGAAAGACAGAAGGCGGCCACACTAATTAGCACCGAACTTGGTTTCTCACCCCAGAAGAATGTTCGCATTTAACATGTCTTCGAATTTGCCTCTGCCAGTAACGCCCCTTCCAGCTCTGTTTGCCCTCCCTCAAGTTAACCTGCCTCCTGTGCTGGTTAAGCCGCAGGCTCACACTGTGTATCCCTTTTGTTAATTGTCTGAGGGATGTGGAGGCGGTGACTGGGGCAGTGGGGAGCCCCTGGGGTTCTGCGAAGCTTGAGGTCACCCGCTAAAACTCATGAGAGAGTAACGTGGACCACAATGCCCGCTCATTAGTTTACTGTGAGACCCTTGGTGCCCAGAGCTCAGCGGTCAGCACAGTCTTTTCCTTTGTCAAAACCACGGGGGAAATGCTGTCCTTCAACAGCAGGTGGAAAACACTGAACTCCTAGTAACGGGTTAACCAGATGAGACGCCAGACCTCCACACGAGAAACAGAAACCGTCATTTGGAGAAATTAAAGAAGACCCAGGTAATTGGAGGATGTGTCACATTCACGAATGGGAGGACTCAGCAACATTCCAAAGATGTCAGAACAAATTGTAGGACTACTGACATCGCCACAAAACTGAGCAGGAAGTCTGGAGCGACATCAACAAGCCAACTGGAAGTGCAGAGGGCGGAGCACATCTAAGGCCACCTGGGGGTGGGGCGGGAGTGCTGATCACTGGGGACGGGCAGTCCGGAGACAAGACCCCGTAGGCTCAGGGGCTGGGATGGGTGGGATCAGTACAGCCGTGGCCAGACAGACCCGGGAGGCAGAACTGGAGGTTCAGAGCAGGTGTGGGCTTCCAACGGAGGCGGCACTGCCCGGAGGTGGGGAGGTGCTGCTCTTGTCAGCAAACGGGGCTGCGTGAGCTGGATCCGAACGGAAGATGAATACTGACTCTTACCTCACACCATGCACAGTGGACAGTGGAAGTTTCCAGAAGATAACAAGGCAGAGTGAGGTGGAAAGACTTCTTGGGACAAAACCCTGTCCCTGAAGAGAGACTGATGGATCGGCCGAGTCAGAGCCATCAAGAGAGCAGAAGGGCAGGCCAGGCCGTGGAGGAGATCTTGCGAAGAAGATACCCTAAAAGGACGTGTGTTCACGGAGGTGAGGAACACTGACAGGTCCGCAGGCCCTCAGTGGAAACTCATGAAAAAGATGGAGAAACAGGCAACACGCTCACCTGCATTTAAGTGAGAAGACGCTCAGCGTCATTAGCCTTGACGATGTGCTAATTAAGACCACAAAAAGAAACCACGACACATCCACCACCGAGCCCAAACGAAGAAGGCTGCAGATACCAAACATTGGCCAAAACGTCCAGCAACCGGACGCTCACGCTGCCTCAGCAGAGCCTGGATTCGCGTGTTCGCTTTGCACTACTGGGCATTTTCTGCTACAGCTGGGCCCTGCCCACCCCGTGGCCCAGTAACTCCACTCCTGGGTGTGCACCCAACAGCAACGCCCTCAAAACACAGCAGCAGCCCCTGTGTCGGCTCAGATGGGAAACCACGCAGATGTCCCAGCAGTGAGTGGATGCATCAGCTGTGGCTCATCCACGCAGCGAAGGACCGGTCAATGATGCGGGTGAAACATGCCACCACACACCACGTGGGTGAGTCACGGCTGTGACGTGACGCAGAGGACATAGCGCTCCATTTACCTCCAGAAGCGGCCCGGGTGTGGCCGGCACCTTGACTGTCTCTGGGGAGGGTGGATGGGAGGGTTCAGAGCTGCTATTGGGTCCCACTTCCTTACTGGGTGGTGCAGCTGCATATTTATGGCGTGGGCACTTTGCAGCCTATGTGTTATGCCTGAATCTCTGAAGTCCATTAAGAAAGCATCCTTATGGGAAGTGCACCTGTGACCATAGAGCCCAGGTGAGGGGAGACTGCAGGTAAGAGTAGGGAACTCGAGTGAGTGGGGAGACTCCAGGTGAGGGGGGGACTCCAGGTGAGGGGGGACTCCAGGTAAGAGTAGGGGACTCGGGTGAGTGGGGAGACTCCAGGTGAGGGGGGGACTCCAGGTGGGGAGGGACTCCAGGTGAGGGGGAGACTCCAGGTGAGGGGGGGACTCCAGGTGAGAGGGAGACTCCAGGTGAGGGGGAGAGACTGGGTGATGGGGAGACTCCAGGTGGCTGAGCACCAGAAGCCGTGGCCAGTGGTGCCAGGTCTCAGCAGGAGGGAAAGCCTGGTGGGTCCACATCACCACGAGTTGGTCCCTGTTCACATCCAGAGCCCCTGACTCTGGACAGCACTGACCAACAACAATAACTTCTTCTGACCTCGGTGTCCACTTCTTTCTTGGAAACAGTGGATGGAGGGGTGCGCAGGTGATTGGAGTCCAACCTTTGAGTTACCACCACACTCATTTTCCACCTTCCCGAGGTACTGGCTTGACATCTGGGGGCCAAGGAGCCTCAGCCACGTGTCACAGGTGACTGGGAGGGGCATCTCATCCACTCTGGGTGAGGTTACTGGTCACCTCCTAAGAAGGTGACTTGTCTGTGAGGTCTTGAATCTTCAGCACCTTTTCCTCCCTCTAGTTATTATAATGATCCAGTTGAGGAGTGACTGAAACAGAAGCGGGCCGGCCCTGCTGGGGTCCCAGGTGAGAGGGTAACGAGGAAGCGTGCAGCGGCCTCGTCACTGCCAACACCCAGGGCGTTTTATCGACAATAGCGACAGTCGTGCCCACGGCGGCCAGTCTCTGTAGCCCACGGTAGTGGCCTTTGTGGCCCAGACCACAATTTCCCAGCGTGCACCCGGAGCCCGTAGGGGTCAGCCTCTGCATTCAGAGCCCGAGCAGGTGGGAGGACCGGGGGCCAGAGAGAGGGCTGGCGGCTGGCGGGGCCTTGTGGCGTCCTGGATGAGGCAACGGTCAGGCCTGGAGGCGCTGGGAAGGGGGAATTCTTGTCAGGAGGCACTGGCCAGGCCCCAGCTCACCTGGTGGCTCCCTCTCACCTCACAGGGGTGCCTCCACTGGAACTTTTGTGGTTCCAGTGATACAGGCTGGGAAGTGACCAAACGTGAATGTACAGCTTGATGAGTTCTTCGAGCACGGACGGTCGAGTCACTTAGAAAAGCGGGCGTCTGAGCCCCAGCTGCCCCCAGGGAGACGCCCGGCTTGGGGGAGGGGCTGGCGGCCCTGGGGGCACCTCGGGAGCCGGCCGCCGGGCCTCTGGGCCGTGTGGGCGTGGCCTGCGGGGAGCCAGTCCTCGCGGCCCAGGCCCAGCCCTTTCCAAGAGGCTTTCTCTTCACAGGTGTGACTTGCTTGACAGGTGGACGAGACGCTTTCGCAGTGATTAACGCTGGTGTGAAGTGTGGCAGCTCCCTCAGGTAAGCCTAAAGTGACTGTCACGCTGTTGCAGACAGACGTGATGCACCAGAACATCTACGACTACATCCACGTGGACGACCGCCAGGACTTCCGCCGGCAGCTCCACTGGGCCATGGACCCCCCACCAGCAGCGTGTGGGCAGCCCCTGTTCGCGGAGACAGGTGGGTCTTCCTGGGCCCAGTCCAGCCCAGGCTCAGACGTTAGTGGGAGCACGTGGGCGTCTCTGCAGGGACCCTTCCTCTCCCTGATGCCGCGTCCACTCCCCTCCTCGAAGACCTCCTCCCGCGTCCCTCTTCCCGCCTCCAGCCCAACGTGGCTCTCTGGCTGTCTCTGGCCACTTCTCTGTGCTCACCAAGAAGCCACAGTACTTGTCTCCCATCTTCCAGGAAAGTCGTGTGGCCGACATTAGATTTACCTGAAAAAAGCCCGCAAAGGTTGTTTGTTCAGAGACGTTGTCCCTTGCGAGCAGGACCTCTGCGAAGTCCTGGATCTGCCGCCCCTGCCCACTCCACACGCTGGGCAGGCATCCAGGTCCTTGAGGGACAGAGCAGCGTCACCGGGGTCCAGTGCAGGGAAGACAGAGTTCTGGCCTTTCACACACCTCCCCTGAAGTGGTAACTAATTCGAGAGGGGTTTCCAGCACAACTTCACACAGCAGCACGATTCACTTTATAACACTGAGGGGAGCGCAAACTTCAGATGCCCACGCAGGTTTATTTTAAAGCTCAAGACAAAAACAAAAACAAAAACTCAACCACTGATCGCTCATCACACATGCAGTTGTTCTGAAACGCTGTTTTTAAGGGCAAAGGACGAAGAAGGGAAAATATGTCAGGGCGGCTGTCTCTAGGGAACTGGGACGCACTGGGCGCTCATGGGAGGGCGACCTGGGGGGCCACGTGTGCTCCGCGCCCTTACACGCACGACCTTGCTCATCAGAGCGTATTTATGGTTTCTCCCTTGATCACGCTGCCTCTGCCAATGTGGGCAGGAGAGGACGCCATCCTGGGGAGGCTGCTGCGGGCCCAGGATGGGGGCGCCGGCTCGCCCACGGAGTACTCAGCCTTCCTGACGCGCTGCTTCGTCTGCCGCGTGCGCTGCCTGCTAGACAGCACCTCGGGCTTCCTGGTGAGTGCACGGGGCTGCGGCCTGCAGGGTGGCGGGGCTGTGCCGCAGTGCGGACCAAGAAGCCAAGAAGCGAGGGGCAGTGCCCGAGGTGCTGACTGCCCATGACTCAGCCGGGAGAGTGTGCAGGCGGTGAGATGAAAATGTGAAGTCAGCTGCCGGTAGAGGCACCACCTAGATGAACTGGAAATCTGCAGAGGGTTTGTACTTATGTTCAATTTCCCTTTATTTAAAACTCATTAAAAGTGTTTTCCCAGCGAGGACTGAGAAGCACAGGAGAGCCGAATGGCAGCCCTGGCTTCTGGTTTTAACCTCTCCTCCTACAGAAAGACACTGGGGTTTCCATTTCTCCTCCAGCGCCTCCTTGGAAGGGCTGAGGCGGATGGAGGTGTGCCCTCACGGGCAGCAGAGCAAAGCTCCCGCCCACCCCAAACCTCCATCCCCTGGACCGCATGTATGCTGCTCTCCAGGGCCTCTGCCGCCTCCCCTTGGCCCAGGGTCCCCACAGTCTCTCCCAGGAGCCCAGCGCGCCCCATCCCTGTGCTGCTTTGCCCACCTCCACTGCTGACCCCAGGGCCAGTGGGCTTTCCCCATCAGTGTCTGGTGCCGGACCCTGAGCCCCAGCTTCCTGCCTCATCCTGGGTGCATGCAGAGCGGCCCCTCCCACGACCCCTGCTCCTCCCCAGCCACACCTTGACTGTGGGGTCCTGGGGGTCTGTCTCCTCTCCTGGGCTGTGGTCCCCAAGAGGGACAAACAGCAGGTGTTTGGTGTTTGGCAGGACCTCTGAGTGTTAGTCCCTGGGCTGGCCTGATGTGTTCCAGGAGGTGCTCAGTGGGTGTCTGTGGGAGGGAAGGAGGGGCAGGGGCAAGCAGGTATTTCTGGATCAGCTTCTAAATGGCTCTGAGGAGAGGGAGCCCTGAGGAGGCCCTGCTGACCAGCCTGAGCCCAAGATTGGCTCTTGGCCGTGGACGTCCCGCCTGCCTGTCTCGGTTCTCAATTCTCGCTGGCTTTCCCTGCCTGGGCCCCGAGCAGTGCCGTGCCGCGAGCCTCAGAGGTTTCTTACTGCTTTTGAGAAAATGTCAAACACTACAAATCAGGGCTTTTTTCTCTGGAGAGCTGGATGTTAAACATGTCCCAGCACCACTGCCTTGACTCGCCCACACCAAGCATGTGACCACCACGTGGTAGGTGCTTTGCAAGTATTTGTTCACTCAATCAGTCCATGGACAAATGGGTGGATGGACAGATGGAAGGATGGATGGATGGATGGATGGATGGAAGGGTGGATGGAGAGACGGAAGGACGGATGGAAGGATGGATGGACAGATGGAAGAATGGATGGATGGAAGGATGGATAGAAAGCAGGATGGATGAACAGAAGATGGCTAGGGAGAGAGTGCAGCCACATTGTGGGGTCATTTTTCCATCAAGGACAGGAGCACCCTGAAGTCACTTTAAGTAACTCGATTATAGACCAGCTCTTCCATTATAGAGAGATCCTTAATTTTCTTTTATCGCAAACTCCAAAGTTACTTCCTGGATTTTTACTCACACCGTGTGCTCTAGATAACCAAGTCAAGCTGTCCCTAAGTTTTATCATCACGAATGAAGCAATACTAATTTGGAAGTGGCAGGTTAATGTGGAAAGTCCTCAGAGATTATCTACCCAAGCAGATCCTACTGAAGGGCTGCCTGGTGGCCCTGCCCCAGTCAGTGCACATGTATGTCCCCGTGCGAGGACTCACACACCCACACACCCATGAGTGCACACACGAGAACATGCCTTAAGGTTGGAGGACATCACGGGGACTCCAGAGCAACCCCGAGCCATTCAAAGGCCACGGGGAACACATGACCAAGGAGGCCGAGTGTGGAAGAAGTGCTGGTTCATGTCTGCTTAGTGACTCAGGAAAGATCCTCTCCGAGCTTTTTCTGTCCCTGGGAACGTGAATTCTTTGTCCTTTGGCCGTGTCACTAATTCACTCTGTGAACACAGCTTCGTTTCTGTCTTTGAAACACCAGACGATGCAGTTTCAAGGAAAACTAAAATTCCTGTTTGGGCAGAAGAGGAAGGCGCCGTCGGGCGCAACCCTGCCGCCTCGCCTCTCCCTGTTCTGTGTGGCAGAGCCGGTGCTCCTGCCTTCCGTGGCGGAGATGAAGGTGAAGAGCGTGCTTCTGAGGGCGAAGCACAGAGGGGACATCTCGTCCACAACGGACACCAAGTGAGTAAGGGTCCCCTTGGCGGCTGGTGGGTCAGTCTCCGCACTTGGTGTTTTCTGTCTAGTCTTTCCTCCTTTCCAGCCAGCAGTAAAATGGGACGTTTGCTGTTTTTAAAGCTAGTACATTATGTAGGAAGCAACTATTAGATAAAAAGCTTTCACTAATATTTGTGACTGTGGCACCAAACACTCCTGCATGTCTGCCTTCCTGCGCCCTCCAGTTACAGCCTCCCAGTCAGCGCCCGGCCTGTGTCCACTGTGGGGATGGGAGGCCAGGGGAGCAGCCCTCCCTGCTGCCTCTGCCATCCCCTCCGTCAGCTCAGCGCCGGGGCAAATGCTGGAGATGACGTCCCGGCAGCGGTGACACGGCACACATTCTGTCCACCCAGGGATTTCTCGGCTTTTGGGGAGTACAGAGCACCTTGAATTAGGTTTTCTGGGGGGTCCCTGGCTATAATCTCCTGCAATGGGCCAGGTCTGTGCTGCAGGGGTCACTTTCCGGAGCGATTAAAACGTTGTGCGTCTGCGACCTGTGTTTCCAGTTGTGCACCTGCGAGGGCGACCCCGGGGAGAAGGGAGGGCCGTCTGAGGTCTGCGCGACGCCCCCTCCGTACCGCTGACGGGCAAAAGGCCTCCTAGTCCCCAGCCCACTTCTCGGCCCCCCTCGGCACCCGCGGTTCAC